GTATTTATGTAATTGCGTTTGTACGTGTAAGTTTGGGGGTCTGAAATGGACTAATCTACTTCACAATATTCCTTATGGGAACAAATTCGGTCAGTACTGGCACCTGAACATACTTCTGGAGTGAAAAAATATCGTTAACCGGGGGTCCACTGTACTTTAAAATAAGTTGGTAAATGGCATTTTCGCTGAGGTAATTTTTTAGAAGGTGAATCAAACCATGCCTGAACTCTTACTGTACTTTCTAAATTAGAACAAAATCACTCTTTCAATTCTATAGTAGAGACCAGTTATTCAATACGTAGCTCAAAAATCTCTAATGAAGGCGGCTAGAGGCAGTGGAGATGTCCTGTCTAAGGGCAATGCATGGTGTAAATGTTATGCAGAGAATTCAGAGTGTGGAAATTAGGAGGTGGTGTGGAATTACTAAAAGTATTAGTCAAAGGGCTGAAGAGGGGTTGTTGAGGTGGTTTGGTCATTTAGAGAGAATGGATCAAAGTAGAATGACTTGGAAAGTGTATAAATTTGTAGGGAAAGGAATGGGTCGTCCTCGAAAAGATTGGAGGAGGTAAAGGAGGTTTTGTGGGTGAGGGGCATGGACTTCCAGCAAGCATGTGTGAGCATGTTAGATAGAAGTGAATGGAGACAAATGGTTTTTGAGACCTGATGAGCTGTTGGATTGTGAGCAGGATAATATTTAGTTAAGGGATTCAGGGAAACTGGTTATTTTTATATAGCTGGACTTGAGTACTGGAAATAGGAAGTGCAATGCCTGCACTTTAAAGGAGGGGTTTGGGAAATAGGCAGTTTGGAGGGGTATGTTATATATCTTTATAGTATATATACTTCTAAACTGTTGTATCTTGGCACCTCTGCAAAGACTAATTATGTGTGAGTGAGGTTTAAGTGTTGAATGATGAAAGTATTTTCTTTTTGGGGATTTTCTTTCATTTTGGGTCACCCTGCCACAGTGGGAGACGGCCGACTTGTTGAAAAAAAATAAAATAAAATAATCTTTAATTTCAGATTTTTTGTTTTTTTTAAGAATATAGTGTATCACAAGTTTTTATTTTTAGTGCCCCGGTACTTTAAGGGTCAATCACTAAATTTGTAAAGGTCTCACATGCAGCACTATGGGAAGGAATGTGCAAAAGTAGAAATGTGGAAAGGTCAAGAATAAGTGAGAGGTAGGTGTGTGTAAAATTAGGGGTTAGTACAGGTGGGGACTAGTGCAAGCAAAGCTGAAATCAAAGTTTGTGCAATAGGTTAGTTTCAGTTAAAAAGCCAGAGAGTTTGCATAAAATGAGGGAATCTCAGCAAGGTGGTGAGTGAGTGTGTATGTGTTGGGACTGCTTAGACATCGGAAGTAGATCCTGTGTGCACTCTGATAGACAGGACAATCTATTAATAAATGTTGGACAGACAATGCCACCTGACAGTTCTCACAGAATGTTGCTGGTTGTTTCTCCATGTGATGTCCGTGAGTCATGCATGTCCAATGCATAAATGCAAGTGTGTGGGCTCCCAAACCCAACAATAGTGGGAAGACGGCCAGAATCCTAAATGTGGCTTTATAGAAAATAATTTTTTGTGGTCCAATGTGGACCAATATTGCCACCAGTTGCAGAGGTAGTGAGAGAGCATTAAAAAAATAGTCGATATTCATAATTTGCACAGAGTAATGTTCTTGAAAACTGAGCTATCTGCGATTTACACAACTTATGGACTGAAAAACATGGAGAAATAGGGTTGCTTTACTCGAACCTCCACTGCTAAGGCCTGGAGGAAGCTGGTTGTTGGTACAGAATAAGATGATGATGAATTAGATGCATGGAGGGATCACTTGGACATCTAAATTTTGAAGAGGTTTCACTAACCAGTATTTTTTTTTTTTTAATTTAATAGATTTATTAACTGGAGACAGCATATTCCTTATAAAGAAAGTGGGAAGCGTGAGCATGAATGACCCTGAAAACCACCAGCAGTCGCATCATACAGTATTTCTATTGCACACAAGAAACAGTGTTATCTTACCTTCCAATCCTTGTTCCTTGTCCTTGTTGCTACAGAAGTGTGAGATATAGCTGAAGTGGCCCTTATTGGCCAAAATGGCTGACTGTGACCTTCACTTGTGGCCTTCATTCTTCACTACATCACAAACATTATAAAATTTTCTCTTTTAATAACAATTTTGCACTTTATTACCAATCAAATATATTCAACATTATTTAAATGCAGCTAGCACAAGAATGTGTAATGACAGTGTAATCATGTATTATACTGTGTGAGTAACCTCCTACCAGCCATAACTACCACCATCACCCACCACTATTCTTTACATTTTCAGCCACAATTTTCTTAGAAATTGTAAGAGTTCCATGTCTAACTGTCTTCTTGGCAACTCCAGCATCTCTTTTATTCCTTTTGGGTGCCATGATTAATATCCAGAGGAAGCAAGTGATGACATGAATGACAATAAGAGAGGTTAACCAAAGAGAGAGTATTGCATGGCATGTGTCCAGAGACTGATGAGTAGTTTGTTTACATCAAGCAGGGATGCTAAGCCTTCCCCACACCAAAACAATGGCTGTGCCCAAGGGGTGGCAGGATGCTCCATAAAGTAACATGCTCCACTAATCTTGCCTTCGTGTGCCTTAATGGTAATGGCATGCTAATACTGGAAATGGAAAAACTAATTTTTAATCACAGAATATTGTGAAAGTGAGCTATGATTGCACAACTTATGGTTATCTACTGGGAAATCTGAAGGTAATGAATAGCTGACCAAATGGCTGAGTCTGCATGTTCACTGCCCTAAACAATGATACATCCAGGGACCCACAAAATATGACTTCTTTGTGCTTGCTAGAAATGCGACACAGCTAAGCCTGTTGGAATAAGGGAAGTTAAATCTCTGGATAGTCTGTAATGCATTTTGGGATCCTGAAACAACTATGAATAATGAGGCAGATATGGTCGCAATGTGGACGATATAGAGAATTGAACACAACTCCACTGTGAAAATACTAGCTGATTCTAATGAATCATCTCTGATGACTTGTTCAGGAAACAAGCTATATACCCAACACCACTGGGGTATTCAGAGAAATTTTTTTTTTTAAGCAAAATATATGTTAAGTGAAATGCACTTTTCCTATTTTTTTCTCATTCTTGATGAATATTTCCCCAAAAATACGAGCTTACCACACACATACTATATGATCATATAGAAAAAGAAAATTGGTCCAAAAATTTCAAAGAAAAAATAAATTGCAAAATTCAGTTGTAAGGCTCTATAAGCGAGCAGCTGCTAAGTGGAACTGGGTTTGCCACCAAGAATTTGGTCATATACACAAATAACCCGCACATAAAAGAGAGAAGCTTACGACGACGTTTCGGTCTGACTTGGACCATTGACAAAGTCACACTAACAGAGGTGGAGCAGGACAGCTATATATAGGCAGGAAGAGGTGGAGGTGGTAGTAGTGGTGGTGGTAGTAGTAGTGGTGGTAGTGGTAGTGGTGGTGGTGGTAGTAGTAGTAGTAGTAGTAGTAGTAGTAGTATAGTAGTAGTAGTAGTAGTAGTAGTAGTAGTAGTAGTAGTAGTAGTAGTAGTAGTAGTAGTAAGTAGTAGTAGTAGTAGTAGTAGTAGTAGTAGTAGTAGTAGTAGTAGTAGTAGTAGTAGTAGTAGTAGTAGTAGTAGTAGTAGTGTAGTAGTAGTAGTAGTATAGTAGTAGTAGTATAGTAGTAGTAGTAGTAGTAGTAGTAGTAGTAGTAGTAGTAGTAGTAGTAGTAGTAGTAGTAGTAGTAGTAGTAGTAGTAGTAGTAGTAGTAGTAGTAGTAGTAGTAGTAGTAGTAGTAGTACAAGAATTGTATATAATACCGACAAGATGAAATTAAGACACATGCACAACACCCGGGCATCCCCATCGTAGACGTTTCGCCATCCACCCAGCCACTGGATGGCGAAACGTCCACAACAAAGACAACCAGACGCCGCACATGTCTTAATTGCATCAGTAGTTGTAGTAGTAGTAGAAGAAGAAGAGGTAGTAGTAGTGGTAGTGGTAGAAGTGGGAAATAAGGATGACGAGCCAGTCAAAAACAAAAACAAAGGAAGGGGAGCACTGCAAGAGAGCTAGATGCTCACAGAGGGAGAGCAAGCGCACAGAGGTGCGTGAAAGGGGAAGTGGTGAAATAAAATAAATGAAGGAACAGAAACATGAGACAGGAGAGAGAAAGACAACCCAGAGGAGAAAAGGAAAGAGGAAAGGGGAAGAGGAAGAAGAAAAAGAAAGAAAAAATGAGGATTCAGGTTAAGTCTTCCCTACTTCCAACTCGAACAGTCGCCGTCTAGTTGAATCCTCTCTAATACACAACTTTCCTTGTATGAACCTTAGCCCTGGCTTCGTCTCTGTAGATGCCTTCCTCTCCCACTACATTGTAAAATGCTCCAAACTTCAGAACACCCGTGACTTAACCTGAATCCTCATTTTTTCTTTCTTTTTCTTCTTCCTCTTCCCCTTTCCTTTTCTCCTCTGGGTTGTCTTTCTCTCTCCTGTTTTGTGTTTCTGTTCCTTCTTCATTTATTTTATTTCACCACTTCCCCTTTCACGCACCTCTGTGCGCTTGCTCTCCCTCTGTGGGCATCTAGCTCTCTTGCAGTGCTCCCCTTCCTTTGTTTTTGTTTTTGACTGGCTCGTCATCCTTATTTCCCACTTCTACCACTACCACTACCTCCTCTTCTTCTACTACTACTACAACTACTGATGAAATTAAGACATGTGCGGCGTCTGGTTGTCTTTGTTGTGGACGTTTCGCCATCCAGTGGCTGGGTGGATGGCGAAACGTCTACGATGGGGATGCCCGGGTGTTGTGCATGTGTCTTAATTTCATTTTGTCAGTATTATATACAATTCTTGTACTACTACTACTACTACTACCTCCACCTCTTCCTGCCTATATATAGCCGTCCTGCTCCACCTCTGTTAGTGTGACTTTGTCAATGGTCCAAGTCGGACTGAAACGTCATCGTAAGCTTCTCTCTTTTATGTGCGGGTTATTTGTGTATCGTTCCAGTCACGGTATAGTGCCTTTTTGTTATTTATTTAGTTATTTAATTTGGTCATTTTACGATTGGAAGTTGGTCAATGAGGGAACGTGTTTTTTTTTTTTTTTTGGTTGTTAATAAAAGTTAGGTTGTGATTGGTCATTAAAGAGTGAACTGTATTTAAAATATCAAAGAAACTTTGTACAATAGAAAAAAGAGATGAAAGTAGATAGAAAAAAACAGCCAACATCTCCCCCAGGTGGAGACAGCTTTTATCTGCTAGAACTAAACTAGTTTCAGTGTTGCTTAATCGGGCAGACTTATTGTACCACATAATTCTCTTGAACCTTTTTTTCATGTAACATCTCACAAACTAGAGCTAATGCTTCAGTAAGTAGACCATTTTCCTATCACATAATGACTGGGTGGATAATCCATTTTTTACTCATTATAAGATTTTTAAATCAACGTGAACAAAATTCTCTTAATGAAATCAGTGTAAAAAACATGAGGATCTACTACACAAATTTCTTGATGCTAAAGGGCTTACAATTGGGAATTTAAGAACTTGAGGAAATGATGGGTGCATTCATCACTTTCAGGTAAGTCAATTACAACTGTGATGGAATATGCTAAAAGAATTTTAAATATTTGGCACAAAAAACCTACTTGACTTGGATCCAGTATCTGAGTAACAATCTGATGTACTTAACAGATTAATCCAATGATTTATGTCTTCTGTTTTCATAAAGTAAAAAAAGAAAAAAGTGCTTAGTACTGTATATGACTAATCACGGGTCGAGTTTCAAAGCCAAACAGATGGTAATTATGTGTATGTCTTGCTTGTAATAATGAGGATGCCCTGTCTAAAATTACCTATCATACCTAAACATTAGTTTTTCCCCCTCAAATCAATGGATATCCACATAAATTACATCACATCTAACAGTAAATTTTACCTTCATCCCTCCAGTTTAGGAATATATTTATACAAATGTACAGCAACACATCAATAGAGCAAGCAGAATACTGTGCCAATGAACTTCAATTATTTCTTCCATTGTTATTTACATTCTCAAGATACCATTTAAGACCAGACCTGATCAAATAATAAGAAATCTGATACACGTAAAAGTCATATCCCGAATATGTACAACAGACGAGGCCAACCATACACACATTCATACATATTTATATACACAAATACATGTGTGTGTCCTGTAATTCCTATGAGTTTGCATATGTGTATCATGTTATCAATAATTATTGTAATAATGACACAATCAGCTGCAAAGCCTGGAAAATATGCTGTTAAAATTTTTTTTATAAGGATTCCTTATATTATCTAATTAGTAATTTTATATATATAGAGTATGTAATGTAGCACCTTATGCAGTCCACCATACACTTCTTGCCCACCAGTTGACCCAACAGTTTATAATAAGTCAAGAAACAGCTGTATTCTTAGAGATAAGTTTCATATGCTTGATTCACAACTTTTTAAATTATGTAATTATATCAATATGCCAAGAATGATGGAAGTACAAAGGAACACAAAGAACTCAAACTCCAATGGCCATTAAATAAAAAAAAAATAAAAAAATCTTTAAGGGACACATCAAAGCTCAACCTTTCAAATACATCATACTGAGCTATGGTATACAACAGGCCTAATAGTAATAATAATAATAATAATAATGATGATGATGATGATGAAAATTAAAACCTCTACAAACATGCAAATACACACAAGAACTCATGCCTTGTACACTGCTCAGAATATCAATGCCATGGCTGTCTTGTCTCTAAGAGCCCACAACTGTGCCACATTAATTAAACCAATACTTTACTCTAGCAGGCAGTAATTATGTAAATGCTGCTAATGGAATTAAATAAATTTCAACATTGGATACTGTACTAGTTACATGCATCAAATACAGTATACAACTGCAGAAGTGATATAAAATTTATGTGCCTCCTAGTTGTGCACAGCTAAAATAAATAAAAAAAAAAAATCACCCAACTTAGGTGGTAAATAGCTGATGTGGTAAAAATTAAGTATAAAATTTAGATTTTAAATTACAAATATTTAGAAGAAAAAAAAAAAAGTATCATTATCATCTCTACCACAACAAATATGCTAATCAAAATAGCCTACAAATCTCTACAGTTAAAATTTCTTGAGCTCTTATAAGAGATCAGTAAAAAACATTTCAAAACAAAGCTAAATATCCTGGGTATCACCTTGCACTGAACACAGTGTATCTCCAAATACAAACATGCTTCAGTTGCACCGTGCCAAATGTTATAAATCACTCTTCCAGCAGTAATCAACTAGTGTGAGTGAATAAAACAATATGACTAAATGGTCTCAATCACTATCACACTATACCTTGGTCTTACATTAGCATTTACACTCACACCTCTGAAAAAATGCAGATAAAAATTACAAAGAAATAAGTTTCTGTACAAAAAATTACTTAAATAAAACACTGATCAAGGCAACCTATCCATATTGTATGAACTCACTCTACTTTTTTCTGTATTCCATCTGGCAACTGATGGGGATGCCTATAATGATGAGTAATGCCAGCATATAATTACTTTAAAGGGGAGAGTGTGGCAGTGTCTCCAATAATTCCAGGACGTTGGCTTAATAAATTAACTTTACAATCTGATACTAAACGTCCAGATTCACTAAAATCTGCTTGACCTACTCCATCACTAGCCTGTGACATGAGTGAATTATCACTAACATCTCCCACTGGGCCAGACCCGCCTGCTTCTGAGGCAGAAAAGGAATTGCCTCCACTGAGGTCAAAGCCTGCAAGATTTATATTATTTTCCTGTACAATGTTGGACAAAGCCTGTGATATAGTATTCAGCTCTTGTTGATTGAATGAGGAAGAGATAATAGAGTCTATCGGGATGTTGCCAGCAACAAGCTCATTTAAAGTGGACTCATCCAAACTTAAAGTCGTGCCTTCTTCAGTTAATGGAGGTGTAGATGAGGCAGTGGTGGTGGCAGCAACAGTTGGAGTTGTACACGGCGGACTATGAGCTTGAGTTGGAGAACTGACAGAATGTTCATCGTCATCACCTCGATCTGTATCTATCTCTCCCTTGTCATCTGCAGTATTTTCAAACTCTCCTGTTTTACCCTCTGCAAGAAAAAAAAATAAAGCTTATAAAACCACAATAGAGTAATAGATTTTAAAACAATATTTTTCATTACACAATATATTTAAGTTCTCTGTAATGTTACAGGAAATTACCAAAGCTGCTACCTGAAGCATATCAAATTTAAAAAGCACCTGAATGAGAGGGTACATTTTTGTCTGGTGAATAGCAGTATTCAACACCACATTTCAACTTGTGACTCTGTTGGAACAGTCATTCAGGATCTTGGGGGCTTACCCTACTTTTTATCTCAAGGTAATATGCCTAACTATATCATTAATATGAAATATCTTTTTAGATTTAGGTGATTATTAAGCCTTCCAAAAATGCCATAGGTGAGAATTAAAACCTCTGGTCAAGTCTGTTACTACATATGCAGTGTTGTTCAAACTGATGAAAGATCTAGAGGAAGTAGAGGGGTCACTTGAATGGTGATATCCATGCACTCTGGGAAAGATAACTAGAAAACAAATGATGAATGAGTTTTCTTCCTTGGGCTTGGAAAAGACCTGATTAGCATTGGCCAAAAGGCCTACTGCAGTAATCCTTTGTTGGAAATTTTTGTTTGGCTTGTTACTCAGAGGATTTATAACCCAACAATCGCTGTCATCCAACTGTCTGACCTATTTCCACTAAGATCCTTTAATCCTCTCTCCCAATCCTCTCGCCCACAACAGTCTGCTAACACCCTGATATACTATGTACCTACCTCCTGCTAGGTAAACAGGAGCAACAAGAAATATGCCCAATCTTTCCACTCACCGGGGACCAAACCCTGGTCCCTCAGTTACGCTGGTCTGACACCAGAGCGCACTGGTGGAAAGGGTTTATGAGGCACAGTACATTACCCAAACAAGGTGTAATTCTACTCCATGAACTCGCTCGCTCAGATAAGCTTTGAGCAGTAAATTCTAGCACAGATATGAGAGAATGAGTATTCGGTAAGTGTGCACCATATAAAAACAAAATCTTGCCCCATGTGTATGCAGTGCTTTCTTGGATGATTTTTATGGTTTTATTGGCTATTTCTTGGTATCATTTAATAGAATGGAAAATATACTGCTGAAATTGAGATGATTTTAATTGGTTTCAGGAATAGAAGTAGCTTGAAACTGAGGTCAAAGTAGTGGAAATATTAAATTTCTGAAGATATTCCAGAGGATGGGTAAGGTACCCCTACAACCTCTAGTCCGTTTTATAGGTTTTTAGAAAGACTAATTCAATAATTGGGATGCAGTAAATCAGGGGTCTCCAAACTTTTCACCACATATTTTTGCAAGCCAAAGAAAAAATCAGTCTTAAAAATAAATATAAATAAATGAACAAAAGTTAACAAACAAAAAAAAAAAAAAAAATTATTTTTTTTCTGAAGGTAATGAAGTGAAAACTACAAAATTTGATGGATAATTTACTGAATTATGCTCTTGCAAAGTTAGCAGTCTCAGCGATATTTAAGCACCAGTGATTTTGGCTACTTTGCACCCTATTTTGGTCAAATTCCATTGTTCCAGTCAACCAAACTCTAAGTTATTTCACTAGTATTCCTTCTATCGAATGTGTACAAGAAACTGCCCATTTACCTACTTCAACTACCCAACAAAGTGATCAGGAATCAGTAACTTGGCCAATTTTACATAAAATTCAAAATGCCAATTTAAAAATAGGGTCCAGAATAAACCAATGTAGACATTCCTGGCACTAAAAAATATTTCCTCTGTTCCTTAGTCACATCTCCAGACCTTTCTTATATTATGTTTCCTTTCCATTTTTAATTTTTATTCACAAAAATAATTATAATAAGATAGACTACTGCATTATTGTAATAATTTTATAAATAATGTCAGTGCATTATTTATAAAAAGAATCAAACATTTCTGCTATTTTGAGCTCAAGTTCAAGGTACTTTCAGTCCTGAAATCAATCAAAATCATCTATATATTCTATCAATTGAGACCAAGAAACTGAGAATACAGCATAAAAACCATATGAAAATACAGTGGACCCCTGCATACCGCACGCATCGCATACCGTACAATCCGCATACCGCTCACTTTTTTCGCAAAAATTTTGCCTCGCATACCGCCCAAAAACCCGCTCACCGCTCTTCGTCCGAGACGCGTCCAATGTGCGGCCTGAGCCACGCTCACATGTTCCGCTGGTGGCATTGTTTACCAGCCAGCCTCCGCGGTAACATCCAAGCATACAATCGGAACATTTCGTATTATTACAGTGTTTTTGGTGATTTTTTCTGGAAAATAAGTGACCATGGGCCCCAAGAAAGCTTCTAGTGCCAACCCTACAGCAATAAGGGTGAGAATTACTATAGAGATGAAGAAAAAGATCATTGATAAGTATGAAAGTGGAGTGCGTGTCTCCGAGGTGGCCAGGTTGTATAATATACCCCAATCAACCATCGCTACTATTGGTGGTACAGCTGCTGCTGCACTGTCAGCTGCTGCTGCTGTAGCATCGTCTGCTGCTGCTGTAGCATCGTCTGTTGCTGCTGTAGCATCGTCTGCTGCTGCTGTAGCATCGTCTGTTGCTGCTGTAGCATCGTCTGCTGCTGCTGTAGCATCGTCTGTTGCTGCTGTAGCATCGTCTGTTGCTGCTGCACCACCGTCAAGCTGCTGCTGCTGCTGTAGCACCGTTGTTGGTGTGGCTTATTGAGAATATCAAGAAACAATTAACCCCAGAGGATTTGCCACCCAGGATAACCCAAAAAAGTCATTGTCATCGAAGACTGTCTAACTTATTTCCATTGGGGTCCTTAATCTTGTCTCCCAGGATGCAACCCACACCAGTTGACTAACACCCAGGTGAACAGGGAAAAATGCCTGGAACTAGTGCTCATATTGGTGAATTTAAAGCCAGCAAAGGTTGGTTTGAGAGATTTAAGAATCGTAGTGGCATACACAGTGTGATAAGGCCTGTTCTGGAAGAAAATGCCAAACAGGACCTACAGTACTCAAGAGGAAAAGGCACTCCCAGGACACAGTGTCTCATCAGTCATTGCTGCATCTTCAATAAAGGTGTCATTTATTCTTCATTTAGTAGAGTAGTACATGCACAATATATATTGTGCATGTACTACTCTACTATTGTGCATGTATCCTTCTCTTTGTGTGTAGGAAAATGTATATTTCATGTGGTAAAATTTTTTTTTTTCATACTTTTGGGTGTCTTGCACGGATTAATTTGATTTCCATTATTTCTTATGGGGAAAATTCATTCGCATACCGAACATTTCGCATAACAACCAGCCCTCTTGCACGGATTAAAGTCGTTATGCGGGGGTCCACTGTACACTGTAAAGTCACTGTTTTAAAACAAAAACATGGTCACAATTTTTTTCTCATTATGCACTGCATGCTGCAGGTTTTTTATATGGTGCACTCTTACCAGAGACCCATTCTCTCATACCTAGGCCCAAATTTACCATTCACAGCTTATCTGAGTAAGCCGAGCTCGTGGCATAATACTACTGGATAGTCACTGGCTTCAGAGTTGTAGAACAATGGGACTGGCACTGAAAGGGTTAAATGGACAAGTTTCACTTGGATCCTTTTTGTAATCGGCATGATATGATTCAGAACAAGAGAGATATATGATAATTACAAAGAAGCAATACAATGAGAAATTATATATGAGTAAAAATGTCAAATATAAGCCAATGCTCTGACAGTATAATCAATTACCTAAATGAAGATGAGGAAAACTGGCACAAGATTAATTTGCACAAGATTAATGGGAATGATGGAACTGGTTTTTTAATTTCAAAATACTGCTGAACTGAGATTTCAAGCTTGAGAAGCCAATTATTAGAATGGACTTCAAATGCTCATAAGCTAAATTTGTGCAATATTTGGACCTGACATACTTTCTTTTTGAAAATGTTTGTTCACAAAGGTACATTGTGCCAAAAACTGATATAAATCCACAAGCAAATTGCTTCAAATCTAGAAACTGTTCAGGCTGTAAAGATTTATAAAAGTAGATCAGATTTCCATCTTTCAGCATGTCATTGGATTGGAGATCAATAATTTCTATTTGGAACTGACCTGAGAGTGTTTCCACACTGCAGTCAACTGGATTTTGAAACAGCTTTATTTCATCTGTTTTTCCATCAAGACTAGAAAATCGTTTCTGAAATTGTTTTTACAAATGAAGAAGGAAATTCTGCTTCACTTTATGAAATCTTTCACAACATGGGAAATGATACCGAGAAACAGCCAATAAAACCATAAAGACCATCTGAAAAAACACCTCAAAGTTGCTATTTTAAACCATACACATGGTCACAGTTTTGTTTTTCCCATCATGTACTGTGGGGGCAGGATTTTTTTTTTTCATACTTTTCACATTTGCCACACAGACTTATTCTTTCATGTCAAGACCAAAATTTACTGTTCACAGCTTATCTGAGCGAGCTGATCTCATGACAGAGTTACACGAGGAACACTGGTCTTAATGATGTACAGTGGTACCCCGTGTTTCGTACAGCTCCCAACTTGAACAATTATGTAAGTGTATTATTGTAAGTGCTTTTGTAAGAGTATTTTTGGGGGTCTGAAAAGGGCTAAGCTAGTTTACAATATTCCTTATGGGAACAAATTCGTTCGGTAATGACACTCAAACAGCCTTCTTGAATGAATTATGGCCAAAACTCAGGGTACCACTGTAGTTCTATGTGATGGCCACTGAAAAGGTCATAAGATCCCTTTTATTTTTTTATGCACCTGAAAGACAAACCTTACCTGGAGCATCAAAGAGCTGAGTTAACTCGTGATCTGGGATACGGTTCAGTACATCTTGGAGGTCACGAGGATCTAACAGGCGAGATGCTGCATCCAGGCCCATTGCCATACCTTCCATGTCATCATCCAGTTCACTTTCTTCTGCTTCAGCCACAGAATCTGTTGGAACAATGTTAAAATGTATGTTTCTAAATATTAAATTGCCGACCAAAACTCAATAATGTTAAGAGAAATCGGCCTGTTAAAAAATCTAAGAACAGTGATGTAAAAGAAATTTTTAAAAATATCTGTGATAAAAAACTGAAAAATATATATAAAACTTAATAGTTATTCATATACAGTACAATCATACAGTCCCAGGAATAATATGCTCTTTCCTCTCAAGTCACTATTAGAGGATATTGGAGGTTATGTGATCAAAGGCCATTGTAAAAACAAATGCTAGTACTATGTGTATTTTCAGTCATTATTTACAATTGCATTCTGCAAACAATAGTTCTGAGTATACTTTTTTTTTTTTTTTTAACATAGAGGCCATTTCCCACCAATGCAGGGTGACCCAAAAAGAAAGAAAAGCCCTCTGTCTTTGCAGAGGCGCTCAGATACGACAGTTTAGACGTTCCTCCAAACTCAAACCCCTCCTTTAAAGTGCAGGCATTGTATTTCCCATTTCCAGGATTCAAGTCCACCTAAGCGGTTTCCTTGAATCCCTTCACAAAATATTACCCTGCTCACACTCCAACAGCTCGTCAGGGCCCAAAATTCACTTGTCTCCGTTCACTCCTATCTAACATCTATCTATAAACATGTACATAAGGAGCTATGAATGAAGTTGAACATCTAATCATTCATTAAAAAGCATCTCTTCCACACTACAGTAATTAAGAAGTAAAACGTCAAAAGGTGGTCCCAGAAGCTGAGTTTCACCTTTCAACCCCCATGAAAACTTGAAGGAACTTAATGGAAACAAATTGCCAGAGCTTAGAGAAGTCTAAGATATTCACCAAAGGAAGTGCACTGAAAAAGAATATGAAAAATATTTTATATGCAAAATAGAAAAAAAATATATTTAGTGAACTTGAAAAAATCTTATAATTTTAGCTTTACGTTAACCATGCAGATCATATATACTGACCTGTACATGAAGCTGTTGAGAAATGTGGGGATGTTTGTGGTGTTGTGGGTGAAGGCTGTGGGGAAGAAAGAGATGACTGACTGGCCATGGGAGGTCGTACACTGGTAGATGGAATCACTGAACACGTAGAATTGGAAGATCTCCGCCGTTTTTTGTTTCGTTTGCCATATCTTGATAAAATTGGCATTTTGTTCTTTTTCCGAGATCTTTTGGGCTTCGGAATTTCATCCAATGCTGTTTTAACATTATTTTCCTGATAATAAAAAAAGTTACAATTATAATACTAAAAACAAAAGAAATACAATAATCACCTGTCATAAACCTTGTACCTTGTCAAGACAACAAATACTGTACATACCATCCTTTCTCAGTGATAACATTTTAGATTTAAGGAGCCACCTTCAGAACAATCATCCTGCTACCACCTTTACCCTTTGAAAAACAGACTAAGATCATAGCATATTTTAGATGGTTCCTTGATTTTTATATTTCTGGCAAGAATACCAGAAACAATTTCAGCATTTGAACAGAAAGGTGAAGGACCAACCACAGTTACCTTAGGAAGAATCTTGACTGTTCAAAGACCATGAAACCAGTATCTGTAGAAAAAAACAGGTAGCCATGGAAACCCCAGCCTCCTGCTCATTTCAGCAAATTGGAAACTAACACCAAAGCTTGATTTTTAGCCTCCCTTACCTTCTTCACAGGGACTGAACCTAGGAAATCAGTTACATGGCCAACAGCATCACTATTTCCTGGGAGACAAGTTTTGGCTTGTCAATCAGGACCTGTTGATTTCCAACAACAGTGTTCACTCCATAATTCTTAATCCTGATGTCAAGTGCCTTCAGAGTATGCATCTCTTATCCCCCTCTCCTCCCATTTTGCTTCCTCAATATCCTTCCAAACAATGTCAAAAAGAGGCTAAGGAGAGGCAACAGAGTCTCAAAGCTTGCTGCTTTTTTTTTATTATTTTTTTTATTAACACACTGGCCGATGCCCACCAAGACAGGGTGGCCCGAAAAAGAAAAACTTTCACCATCATTCACTCCATCACTGTCTTGCCAGAAGGGTGCTTTACACTACAGTTTTTAAACTGCAACATTAACACCCCTCCTCCAGAGTGCAGGCACTGTACTTCCCATCTCCAGGACTCAAGTCTGGCCTGCCGGTTTCACTGAATCCCTTCATAAATGTTACTTTGCTCACACTCCAACAGCACGTCAAGTATTAAAAACCATTTGTCTCCATTCACTCCTATCAAACACGCTCACGCATGCCCGCTGGAAGTCCAAGCCCCTCGCACACGAAACCTCCTTTACCCCCTCCCTCCAACCTATCCTAGGCCGACTCCTACCCCGCCTTCCTTCCACTACAGACTGATACACTCTTGAAGTCATTCTGTTTCGCTCCATTCTCTCTACATGTCCGAACCACCTCAACAACCCTTCCTCAGCCCTCTGGACAAGTTTTGGCAATCCTGCACCTCCTCCTAACTTCAAAACTACGAATTCTCTGCATTATATTCACACCACACATTGCCCTCAGACATGACATCTCCACTGCCTCCAGCCTTCTCCTCGCTGCAACATTCATCACCCATGCTTCACACCCATATAAGAGCGTTGGTAAAACTATACTCGCATACATTCCCCTCTTTGCCTTCAAGGACAAAGTTCTTTGTCTCCACAGACTCCAAAGTGCACCGCTCACCCTTTTCCCCTCATCAATTCTATGATTCACCTCATCTTTCATAGACCCATCCACTGACACGTCCACTCCCAAATATCTGAACACATTCACCTCCTCCATACTCTCTCCCTCCAATCTGATATCCAATCTTTCATCACCTAATCTTTTTGTTATCCTCATAACCTTACTCTTTCCTGTATTGTATTCACTTTTAATTTTCTTCTTCTACATACCCTACCAAATTCATCCACCAACCTCTGCAACTTCTCTTCAGAATCTCCCAAGAGCACAGTGTCATCAGCAAAGAGCAACTGTGACAACTCCCACTTTATGTGTGATTCTTTATCTTTTAACTCCACGCCTCTTGCCAAGACCCTCGCATTTACTTCTCTTACAACCCCATCAATAAATATATTAAACAACCACGGTGACATCACACATCCTTGTCCAAGGCCTGCTTTTACTGCGAAATAATCTCCCTCTTTCCTACATATTCTAACTTGAGCCTCACTATCCTCGTAAAAACTCTTCACTGCTTTCAGTAACCTACCTCCTATACCATACACCTGCAACATCTGCCACATTGCCCGCCCCCCTATCCACCCTGTCATACGCCTTTTCCAAATCCATAAATGCCACAAAAACCTCTTTAGCCTTATCTAAATACTGTTCACTTATATGTTTCACTGTAAACACAAGAATAAAATACATAATGCCTGGTTTAAATTGCTACAGAACTCAAAATTTTGTGTGATAATTATAAATCTCCTCAGTAGTACGTTGGTAGACAGCAACCACCCAGGAATGTACTAACATCCTGCCAAGTGAGTGTGAAATGGAAACCTGTAATTGATTTACATGATGGTATAACTGCTGGCATTTCTTTTTTGTTTCATAAACAAGCAGGATAACAGGTATATCTTGCTACATACTTCTGTTACATTTAAGTCACACTACACATGCATGTACATGCACATGTATATTTATACGCCCATCTGGGTTTACTTTCATTTTCTTAATAGTTCTTGTTCTTCTTTATTTTCTCTTATCTCCACAGGAAAGTGGAAAAGAATTCTTTCTCCATAAGCCACATGTGTCGTAAGAGGCAACTAAAATGCCAGGAACAAGGGGCTAGTAACCCCTTCACCTGTATAAATTACCAAATTTAAAAAGAAAAAGTTTCATATTTTTAGGTCACCCTGCCTAGGTGGGATACTGCTGGTTTGCTGAAAAAAATTGTAAATCTGTAAAGAGGTAGAGTAACCTTGCAAAAAACTTTTGAGCATAATCATTATTATTTTTTTTTTTTTTATTATCACACCGGCCGATTCCCACCAAGGCAGGGTGGCCCGAAAAAGAAAAACTTTCACCATCATTCACTCCATCACTGTCTTGCCAGAAGGGTGCTTTACACTACAGTTTTTAAACTGCAACATTAACACCCCTCCTTCAGAGTGCAGGCACTGTACTTCCCATCTCCAGGACTCAAGTCCGGCCTGCCGGTTTCCCTGAATCCCTTCATAAATGTTACTTTGCTCACACTCCAACAGCACGTCAAGTATTAAAAACCATTTGTCTCCATTCACTCCTATCAAACACGCTCAAGCATGCCTGCTGGAAGTCCAAGCCCCTCGCACACAAAACCTCCTTTACCCCCTCCCTCCAACCCTTCCTAGGCCGACCCCTACCCCGCCTTCCTTCCACTACAGACTGATACACTCTTGAAGTCATTCTGTTTCGCTCCATTCTCTCTACATGTCCGAACCACCTCAACAACCCTTCCTCAGCCCTCTGGACAACAGTTTTGGTAATCCCGCACCTCCTCCTAACTTCCAAACTACGAATTCTCTGCATTATATTCACACCACACATTGCCCTCAGACATGACATCTCCACTGCCTCCAGCCTTCTCCTCGCTGCAACATTCATCACCCACGCTTCACACCCATATAAGAGCGTTGGTAAAACTATACTCTCATACATTCCCCTCTTTGCCTCCAAGGACAAAGTTCTTTGTCTCCACAGACTCCTAAGTGCACCACTCACTCTTTTTCCCTCATCAATTCTATGATTCACCTCATCTTTCATAGACCCATCCGCTGACACGTCCACTCCCAAATATCTGAATACGTTCACCTCCTCCATACTCTCTCCCTCCAATCTGATATTCAATCTTTCATCACCTAATCTTTTTGTTATCCTCATAACCTTACTCTTTCCTGTATTCACCTTTAATTTTCTTCTTTTGCACACCCTACCAAATTCATCCACCAATCTCTGCAACTTCTCTTCAGAATCTCCCAAGAGCACAGTGTCATCAGCAAAGAGCAGCTGTGACAACTCCCACTTTGTGTGTGATTCTTTATCTTTTAACTCCACGCCTCTTGCCAAGACCCTCGCATTTACTTCTCTTACAACCCCATCTATAAATATATTAAACAACCACGGTGACATCACACATCCTTGTCTAAGGCCTACTTTTACTGGGAAAAAATTTCCCTCTTTCCTACATACTCTAACTTGAGCCTCACTATCCTCGTAAAAACTCTTCACTGCTTTCAGTAACCTACCTCCTTAAAAATTAACTACAAATAACCTTTCCCTGCAAATCTTATCTCAACACTGGAGTAAATACAGTAATTAATGTGTGGCATACTAAGATTTCTCACCTGTGTTTTGCTATGGTGCGAACACAGTGGAAGCTCATGGGAGACATCAAATACAGGTACCCGACACAATGTGTTGTCTGGGTGTCGTGCAGTGCAGTGAGTGAACAACTGCTGATCCACATTATACATGATATGACGTAAGCAGTGCCTAGTTCCAGGTAAGGAGAGCTCTCTACACTCTCCACCCTCACCATCATTGTACACACACTCACGTCGCATCAGCACCGATGATCTAAACCTACAACAAAGGCAAAAACTCTCTATTTAAATTATCCATCAATAGCAATATACAGTGGACCCCCGGATAACGATATTTTTTCATTCCAGAAGTATGTTCAGGTGCCAGTACTGACCGAATTTGTTCCCACAAGGAATATTGTGAAGTAGATTAGTCCATTTCAGACCCCCAAACGTACACGTACAAACGCACTTACATAAATACACTTACATAACTGGTCGCATTGGGAGGTGATCGTTAAGCGGGGGTCCACTGTATTGTACTATTTCATACAGTACTGAACAATCCTTTAAACAACATATATATTACTGTATTCTTGAAAAGCTTAAGTGAGATATATCTTCAACTCAAATATCAGTACTGTAGTGAATATTCAATATCCTTGACTAGTGATTACATACAGTTGAATCCTTAATATGCAGGGGTCAGGTTCTGGAAATAAAAAACAGTTACCTCCACTCACTCAGGACTATCTAACATGCTCACACACACCTGCTGGATGTCTAAGCTCCATGCATACGAAACCTCCTTTACTTACTCCCTACAACCTTTCCTAGAGTGACCCCTACCCCCACCTTCCCTCCACTACAGATTTTTACACTCTCCAAGTCATCCTATTTTGCTCCATCCTCCCTAAATATCCAAACCACCTCAACCAGTCCTACTCAGCCCTCTGGATATTACTTTTAGTAATTCTGCACTGTCTTTTAATCACCAAACTACGAATTCTCTGCATAATACTCACATGACACATTGGCCTCAGACATGACATCTCCACTACTTGTAGCCACCTCCTTGATGCAACTTTCACAATTCAACAGCTGCTAATATCTTACCCTAACTACCTCTTCCTTTAGTTTATAAACATTCACATCTCTCTTACTCCCTGACACCATTCTCACTGTACCTCATCTACCTCTTACTCTCTCATGTAAACAAATACATTCAAAAGATATTCAAAGATAATAATAAAATGAAATACAGTGGACCCTTGGGTAACGGCGTCATCAGCTAACGTCAAAATCGGATAGTCATATTTTTGCGTCAAAATATTGGCTCGGCTAACGCCCAAGAATTCAGTTAAGGACATTCGTCCCAAACGTGTCTGTGCGGCCTGAGCCGCCCAGCCACTCCATGACTCCTTGTACAGCTAGTGTGCCATTGTTTACAAGCCAGTGAGGATGATTCCATGTGTACATGCAATATATTTTGTATTATTCTATTGTTTTTAGTGCTTGTAACTGCTAAATAAGCCACCATGGGCCCTGAGGAGCCTATACCAGTTGTGGAATCTATTGTGGCATTGGGGAAGTCCATGGGGTTGAAGGATAGTGGCGAGGATGTGGAAGAGTTGGTGGAAAACGACGATGAAGAGCTAACCACTACAGAGCTGCAAGAGCTTCAGGTGCAACAGCAACAGACCACAGCTCAGGAATTTCCTTCAGAGGAGGAGGAAGAGAGATGGAGAAAGTTGCCTTCATCAAAGAATAAGGGCATTTGTGCAAAGTGGGTTGAAGTGCAAAACTTCATGGATGAACGTTACCCTGACACAGCTGTTGCAGGCCGTATTGGCAACATGTACAATGCCAATATTGTGTCCCATTTCAAGGAAATCTTATTAAGAGATGCCAGAAACAGAGCTCTGTGGACAGATTTTTGGTGCAACAGGGGTCCAGTAACTCTCAAGCTGGTCCTAGTGCCATTAAAAAACAAAGAGAGGTAACCCCAGAAAAGGACTTGTTACCTGAAGTCTTTATGGAAGGGGATTCCCCTTCCAAACAATTGTAAACTCCTCCATCCTCTGCCCTTCTCCCATCTCATTACTCATCAGTAAGTCTTCAATAAAGGTAAGTGTCATTTCAGTATTGTTTATTCTGCATGTCTCATTGTTTTCTGTGTAGGGAAATATATATTTCAAGTAAAACCTTTTTTTAACAAGTTGGCCGTCTCCCACCGAGGCAGGGTGACCCAAAAAGAAAGAAAATCCCCAAAAAGAAAATACTTTCATCATCATTCAACACTTTCACCTCACTCATACATAATCACTGTTTTTGCAGAGGTGCCCAGAACACAACAGTTTAGAAGCATATACATATAAAGACACACGACATATCCCTCCAAACTGCCAATAACCTAAACCCCTCCTTTAAAGTGCAGGCATTGTACTTCCCATTCCCAGTACTCAAGTCCAGCTATATAAAAATAACCGGTTTCCCTGAATCCCTTCACTAAATATTACCCTGCTCACACTCCAACAGCTTGTCAGGTCCCAAATACCATTCGTCTCTATTCATACCTATCTAATACGCTCACACGTGCTTGCTGGAAGTCCAAGCCCCTTGCCCACAAAACCCCAATAAAAAAATTATTTTGTTTAATACTTCTGGGTGTCTGGAACAGATTAATTGGATTTCCATTATTTCTTATGGGGAAAATTAATTCGGCTAACAACAAAATCGGCTAAAGGCAAGCTCTCTGGAACGAATACCGTTACCCGAGGGTCCACTGTAATATACTGTTTAATCTTGCAAAAGAAAGTAAGTTAACTTAAAATTGTATATTTACTAATTATAATACTGTAATATTACTATAAATCTTATTAGTTATAAAATTTTTGACTACCTCACTTTAGTAATAAGGTATAATAATGAATAATTAAAATTTACCACTCTATAATCTATGTCTTGTTTTAAGTAGACTGTAAGCATTAGTATTAGTCTGCTCAAAATGCTCAGGCATGTTAGTGGCTTCCTTTGTACTAAACAACCTTTTATAAAATGTAAATCACACATTGTAACCTCTGCAAAGAAATAAAAACTGTATTGTACTGTATTAAAAAGTTAAATAAGTATGAAGAAATGAAAACCATTAACTATATTTACTGGCAAAGGTTACATAAGCTACCACTGACCTAGACTTTATTTTTGGAGATTCTTGGCTATGTTGTGAATTGCGGTAGAGGCAGCAAGCATCTGCAGCGAGGCGTGGGTGTGTGCGTGCAGCATCTACCAGGGTTTGTGTGAGGGGACACCGCCTTTCAACCTCCCACGAACGCACTTCTGTACGCACACGAGATGCTGTAACCTGAGAGAGAAGAGTAGTCACTTCTTTACAGCTATATTACTATATTATACATAACAATTTAGTGAAACAAAGTCAAGTAGTATAGTTAAAACAGAAAATGCAGAGATTATGATATCAGTAATAGTTTCGTGAGTGTAGTTACTAGTTTGTGCTTGCTGAATTGCATTTGTGGGAGCTGAGTTGTGGCTCCTGGTACTGACCCCTGCCCTCTTAAGCCTTATGACTCTGGAGCATCCCTAGTTTTCATATAGTTGATATTTACTCCCAGATCTTTTCATTAGTCAATATTTGTAGTTTCTCTCCTCTCAGTATATACAGTGGAACCTCAAAAATCGAACTGCTCCCAACACAACCAATTATATAAGTGTATTTTTGTAAGTGCTTTTATAAGTGTATTTTTAAGGGTCTGAAATGGACTAATCTAATTTACATTATTCCTGATGGGAATAAATTCATTCGGTAAAGGCACTTGAACAGACTTCTGGACCGAAGAAAGCTCGATATTTGAGGTTCCACTGTACTTCAGCTTTGGTCTCCCTTTCTCCTTCTACAAAGTCCTTGCACTTCCTTGAACTGAACTCCAGCAATCACTTAGATAACCTGTCTTAAAACTCTCCTTACAGGTCATCATTCTCAATACTCTCACATCATCCAACACAAACACAGAGGAGCTGTGACTCAACCCCTGCAACCACAAACAGGTATGTACATGAGTGTATGTACATACACACACAAACACCAAACACAAATACAAAAACACAAACACACACACACACAAACACACACAGAGTGTGGCCCATGTGGCAGATTCTTTAAATATGCTTTATCAGGAATAGAAGTAGCACTTGTGTTGATCTTTTAGGGAAAACTATTTATTTCTGTCCATCCTGACACCCATCTTTCGAGTATTTTTTGATCTATTGGAAGACTTTCTCATCCTTGCTTGCTTTACTAGCTTATAACTCAAATCTCTAACTGCTTTTTCATGCCAGGAAGATGCAGTTAATCTATCATGATTCTCTTGTTTTATTTATTCAACTCAAAATATTCAGTAAACATACAAGTAATGCCACAACATTTTTCCTCTCACTGTATTTTAAATGATATGGCACAAAATGTGTCATATTAGGAAAAAAGTAGTCTGGTACAGTGTACTCATAACTGCATGTTCAAGGGGTGATGGACAGCACCCCATAAGCAACTTGTCTAAAAAATATGATATAAATGACCCAATAACATCCCACCTCACTCTATATATTACCATTACATCTTCCAACATCTCTTATTACCTACTGCAATTGCAATTACAGTACCTATTTGAAGCTATACGAGCAAAGCTGTGCTAAGGTGTCCTGCCTAAGTAATTTTATTTTATTTTTAATTTCAAGTAGATATAACATTTGCTACCACCTCTTGCATCTCATTCTAATGTACTTGTGTAGTCAAGAATTTATTTAATAATGATAAATTAAGTCAACTGGTCAGTTGGTATTAATATGAATTTCAAGGGGATATTTTTCTAAAGTTTCACTTAGGTCATAAAAATAGAGTAAGCAGTAGGTAGTAAAATGGAGTTTTTCTAGTCTTGTCATCTTTTCGGTTTAGCTGCTTTTTACTTGATGAAATTTGCACTCTAATTAGGCAAGTGATTTTTTTACCATTTTTTAAATATTTATCCATAATCTTAATAGAGAGTATATTTTATAAAGCTACTCAGCTTTGCTGTGTAACACTTTTACCTTTTGTCAGATTTAGTTATATTGTCCTTTTAGGCTGTCAATTGTAGCATGACTGCATAATAATAATAGTAGTACGTAGTGATATTTATGGAGCACTTTGATGAAGCAACCAACTTTTCAATCATGCTTTACAAGCATCCCATTCAAATTATTACTGTTCGAAAAATTCATCAAGCCCTATAGTGTGGGCATGATTATTTACTGGATAAAGAGCCATAATCGTGATATTTCAAAATTACATTTACCAAATTAAACATCAGGCAAATCAGCTATTTTTAATGTAGGAGGGAATTTTACCCAACTGCTAATATAACATAGTCAAAAGAACTTCAGTTCAAAATTTTTTTGGTGCACTTGGCATTATGCAAAGCAAAACATGGATTTGTTTTGCATGAAAGGCATATTAGAAATCAGCAAAAACAGTATATGCAAGGAATCCCTACTTGTGCATTCAGAAATAAAAAGCTATAGGAAAAGTCAAGTAATAATGCACTCTGAGTACTTTCTGACAATAACTATAATATTCCCTATACACAGAGGAAGAAAACATGCATAGTAAAGACACAACATGTCAATAACCTACTAACTTGTCTTCTATGTGATGCCAGGGCAACTGAGAGGGTAATGGAACGCTGACAGCTAGTGCCACCTGACAACTGTGATAATGCTGTAGCTGTTGGGTCCACCCAACTCTGCTGTCTGCCACTCAACTCACTAGCATTGTTCACCCAATTTTGGTATCTCTCATAAGGTCCATCATTGGGGTCCAGCCAGCCTTGTTGACTTCCACAAAGGTCCTCTGTATCACTGCCATCACTCTCCTCGCTCGTCTCAACGCCTAAAAAGTGAATATCATACGGTGTTCAAATATAGGTTGAACTAGTAGGCTAAAAACCAAAAATTGTGAAAGACATGTCTGCACAGATTAAGACAAATTTCATCACTTGTGGTGAAATGTTTCCTTATTAAATCTCAATCTATACATACATGTCTTTCCAAAACTGAAACATACCTGCTTCATAAAATCAACACAATATTCAGATGATAAACTGATGAAATCTGATGGCTGCTTATACAAGAAACAGAAATGTCTATTAGTAAACTGACAAAAGTGCATGTTAGAATAAGTTTCCCAAGCTATGGGAAGATACAGTAATTACTGTAGAGGGTAAACAGGCATTAGCTAGCATCACATTCCCTATTAAATTTCTTAGAGTTTGACGAGTTTTTCAATTTACAAGTGTTAAATTTTCAACATTTTACTATACAGTACTGTATTTTAAATACCTCATGGAATATGAAATCCTGTATAAATTCACTTGAATATTCTTCTCTTTTAAATGATTTATTATGAATAATGCACATTACAGAGAAAGAGCAACAACTGTTCAATGGTTACACATTTAAGCGGACAATGCTGGTGTTCTTTAGATGCAGGGAAAAAGGAATCTTATTGGGCATTACAGTTGACTCTTGAACAACACAGGTTTGAACTGTGCAGGTCCACTTATATGTGGATTTTTTCAATAAATATATTGGAAATTTTGGAGAGAGATTTGACAACTTAAAAAAAAAAAAAGAGCAGATAAATCGCATAGCCTAGAAATAGAGAAAAAATTAGGAAAATGTTAGGTATGTCATTACTGCATAAAATATATGTAGATACTAGTCTATTTTATCATTTACTACCATAAAATATACATAAATCTATTGTAAAAAGTTATAATTCATCAAAAGTTATGTACACAAACACATCATAGATGGTGCCATTTACAACTGAGAGAAATGTAAACAAATGTAAGGATACAATATTAAATCATAACCATATAAAATTAACTGCAGTACATACTGTACTACTGTAGTAATGTCATAGCCGCCTCCTGTTTCTACTGTGGTGAGCTCAATTGCTGCCAATATCTGCTTGAAATGCCATGCAGTGCTAATCATCTCTCCAGTAAATTGCCTATCACAGCAAAAGGTGATCTCTCACAGTTCTTGCGTATTTTTTACGGTGTTTAGTGCGACCTTTTAGCTTTGATATACCTTTGATGAATTTCAAGTCTTTCTACTCCCAGAGCCCAGCCATGGGCCAGGTTCATCTGGTGCTAGTCTGATCAACCAGGTTGTTGCTGCTGCAGACCTGCAGCCCCACATATCCATCACAGCCTGGTTGATCTGGTACCTAGTGAAGATACTTGTCCAGCTTCCACTTGAAGACTTCTACACTTGTTCCAGCAGTGTTTCTGATATCTTCAGGTTAGATGTTGAATAATCTGATGCCATGGACGTTGATACAGTGTTCTCTTATTGTGCCTACCGTACCTTTGCTTTTCACTGGGTTTATTTTGCACTTCCTTCCACATCTCTCACTCCAGTATACTCTCATGGTAGTGTGCAGATTTTGGACCAGGCCCTTGAGTCCTTTCAAGGTATATATTATCAAGTAACTCTCTCTCCTCTGCTCCAGTGAGTACATATTTAAGACTAAGGCATTCCCAGTAATTTAAACACTTTACTGGCTCTATGTGGGCCATTAGTGATCTCTATATCTGTTCCAACTCTGAGTCTAATATTCCTTAAATTGTCATTATATAACAACTTAAAGCAAAGGAAAGTGAAGAATCTAAAGCTCCAGAATTTAATACTAGCAAGAGATGGCTTGATAATTTTAGAAAGAGGTTTGGCTTAAAAAATGTCAAGATAACAGGAGAAGCAGCTTCTGCCAAGATGGACCTTTCTATGATATGGGTACTGAAACTAAAGTAAATGGTGGAAGGAGGATTGGTACCATACAGAAACATTTTTAAAGAAAAAAAAAAGCAAAAAAGTCAGACAGAAATCACGATATATTTCTGTAAAGTTACAGTGTTTGCCTGCCTCCCCTTCCACTTCCTCTGCCTGTGCCACCCCTAAGACAGCAAGACCAGCCTGCCTCCCCTTCCACCTCCTCTGCCTGTGCCACCCCTAAGACAGCAAGACCAGCCTGCCTCCCCTTCCACCTCCTCTGCCTGTGCCACCCCTAAGACAGCAAGACCAACCACTCCTCTTTCTCCTCCTCCTCAGCCTACTCAACATGAAGACAACAAGGATAAAGACCTTTATGATCAACTTCCACTTAATGAACAGTACATAATCATTATGCACACAGTTAAACTTATGTGCTGTGTATGTGTGTCTCCATGTGAAAATCTAATAATTGTACAGCAAGAACTGCATGGGGCGTTTTTGTGTCATCACCACCACCACCACCACTGCCTAAGTATTCATGGTGTAGAACACAGTGCACAAAGACTTGTATGAAAGTTGACTGCCTATCCTTACACAGGCATAAGGTGGGTGATATTTAATATAAAATTAATATGGGGTTAGTTTTCTTACTGTTTTATAACTTCACTTTCAGTATGCCTCTCTCTCTCTCTCTCTCTTCTAACTGGAGGAACTGCCTATCAGCCTATCAAAACAGGTTTTTTTTTTTTTTAAATGTAACAATGTTTCCAATACAGTGGAACCCCGGTTTTCGTGACTAATCTGTTCTAAAAAGTCTGATGAAAACTGAAACAATATTTCCCATAAGAAATAATGTAAATCCAATTAACCCATTCCAGACACCCAAAAATATTAACAAAAAAATACATTTTATAGAGAATAACTATAATTTTACATACAGAAAACAATGAGATACAAATATAAATGACTAATGAAATGGATAAATGAACATTTAACACCACTTTTACCTTTACTGAAGACTCTTGTTGGCATATGGAAGATGGCGAGGAGGGGAGAGGGAGGAGGAGAGGTTACTGTTTGGAAGAGAAATCCCCCCTTCATAAGGACTTCAGGTATCAAGGCCCTATCCAGGGTTACTTCCCTTCTTTGTCTTTTACTGGCATTAGGACCAGCTTGAGTTGCTGTACCCCTGTTGCACAAAAAATCTGTCCAGAGAGGTCTGTTTCTGGCATCTCTAAGATTTGCCTAAAATGGGACAAAGCATTGTCATTGAACATGTTGCAGACATGCTTGCAACAGCTTTGTTAGGGTGACATTTCTCCACAAAACTTTGCAATTCATTCCACTTTGCACACATGTCCTTAATCACTGAAGAAGGCATATTCTCCCCTCTCTCTTCCTCCTCCTATGAAGCAATTTCCTCAGCTGCGGTCTGTTGCTGTTCCAGTCGAAGGTCTTGCAGCTCTTTCAGTGGTTAGCTCTTCCTTGTGGTTGTCCACCAACTCTTCCACATCCTGGCAATTCACATCTAACCCCACAGACTTCCCCAAAGACACAATAGATTCCACAACAGGCGTAGGGTAATCAGGGTCAGCCTCAAACCCTTCAAAATCCTTCTCGAAGACACATTCTGGCCACAATTTTCTCCAAGCCTTATTGAAACAGTGCTTTGGTGTACAGTTTTTTGAAGTTTGAAATGACCAGGTGGTCCATGGACTGGATGAGAGGAGCGGTATTAGGAGGCAAGAACTTCACTGTGATGAAACTATCCTCCTCCAACAAATGGTCTTCCAAGTCTGGAGGATGAGCAGGAGCATTGTCCTTTACCAGGAGGCACTTTTGTGGCAAATGATTTTCCAGGAAGGATTTCTTCACACTTGGGCTAAACACTTCACTGACCCACTCAATGAAAATTTGCCTCGTGACCCATGCCTCGTGACCCATGCCTCGTGACCCATGCCTCGTGACCCATGCCTCGTGACCCATGCCTCGTGACCCATGCCTCGTGACCCATGCCTCGTGACCCATGCCTCGAGACCCATGCCTTACTGTTAGCCTTCCACATCACACACAGTTTACTCTTGATGAAATTGTTTTTCTTGAACACTATGGGATTTTCAGAGTGATACACCAGTAGAGGCTTTGCGTGGGCACTTGAGTGGCCGAGTCACACAGACGCGTTTGGTATGAACCATTTTGAACTCTGTGAAAACCGAGCGGATGTAGGAAAACTAGGACAAAATTTCAACGAAAAAAGTTGTCGAAAACCAAATCCTACAAAAACTGGGGCATATGAAAACCGAGATTCCACTGTACTGTATTATGTAGTATATGACTGTAATACTGTATGCCTGACGTGTTAAAAAAAAACAGTAAGACAATACTGATGTAGGTAGTGACAGACGATTCATCTTGTAAACCGAAAACATAAACTTATGGTATCGATAAATACAATACAGTACTGTATATGTATCCTCTCTTCCTAATGATTTTTCTTAATACCATTTTCTTTTCTCAAGCTTATTGTAAAAATACAGTACAATGGACCCTCGGATAACGATGTTAATCCGTTCCTGAGAGCGCATCGTTAGACGAAATTATCGTTAGCCAAATTAATTTTCCCGTAAGAAATAATGGAAATCTAATTATTCCATTCCAGACAGCCAAAAGTTTTTTTTTTTTTTTTCAACAAGTCGGCCGTCTCCCACCGAGGCATGGTGACCCAAAAAACAAAGAAAATCCCCAAAAAGAAAATACTTTCATCATTCAACACTTTCACCACACTCACACATTATCACTGCTTTTGCAGAGGTGCTCAGAATACAACAGTTTAGAAGCATATACGTATAAAGATACACAACATATCCCTCCAAACTGCCAATATCCCAAACCCCTCCTTTAAAGTGCAGGCATTGTACTTCCCATTTCCAGGACTCAAGTCCGACTATATGAAAATAACCGGTTTCCCTGAATCCTTTCACTAAATATTACCCTGCTCACACTCCAACAGATCGTCAGGTCCCAAGTATCATTCGTCTCCATTCACTCCTATCTAACACGCTCATGCCCGCTTGCTGGAAGTCCAAGCCCCTTGCCCACAAACCCTCCTTTACCCCCTCTTTCCAACCCTTTCGAGGACGACCCCTACCCCTCCTTCCTTCCCCTATAGATTTATATGCTTTCCATGTCATTCTACTTTGATCCATTCTCTCTAAATGACCAAACCACCTCAACAACCCCTCTTCTGCCCTCTGACTAATGCTTTTATTAACTCCACACCTTCTCCTAATTTCCACACTCCGAATTTTCTGCATAATATTTACACCACACATTCCCCTTTGACAGGACATCTCCACTGCCTCCAACCGTCTCCTCGCTGCTGCATTTACCACCCAAGCTTCACATCCATATAAGAGTGTTGGTATTACTATACTTTCGTACATTCCCTTCTTTGCCTCCATAGATAACGTTTTATGACTCCACATATACCTCAACGCACCACTCACCTTTTTTCCCTCATCAATTCTATGATTAACCTCATCCTTCATAAACCCATCCGCCGACACGTCAACTCCCAAGTATCTGAAAACATTCACTTCTTCCATACTCCCTCCTCCCAATTTGATATCCAATTTTTCTTTATCTAAATCATTTGATACCCTCATCACCTTACTCTTTTCTATGTTCACTTTCAACTTTCTATCTTTACACACATTCTCAAACTCATCCACTAACCTTTGCAATTTTTCTTTAGAATCTCCCATAAGCACAGTATCATCAGCAAAAAGTAACTGTCAGTTCCCATTTTGAATTTGATTCCCCATAATTTAATCCCACCCCTCTCCCGAACACCCTAGCATTTACTTCTTTTACAACCTCATCTATAAATATATTAAACAACCATGGTGACATTACACATCCCTGTCTAAGACCTACCTTTACCGGGAAGTATTCTCCCTCTCTTCTACATACCCTAACCTGAGCCTCACTATCCTCATAAAAGCTCTTTACAGCATTTAGTAACTTACCACCTATTCCATATACTTGCAACATCTGCCACATTGCTCCTCTATCCACTCTATCATATGCCTTTTCTAAATCCATAAATGCAATAAAAACTTCCCTACCTTTATCTAAATACTGTTCACATATATGCTTCAATGTAAACACTTGATCTACACATCCCCTACCCACTCTGAAGCCTCCCTGCTCATCCGCAATCCTACATTCTGTCTTACCTCTAATTCTTTCAATTATAACCCTACCGTACACTTTTCTTGGTATACTCAGTAAACCTATTCCTCTATAATTTTTACAATCTCTTTTGTCCCCTTTCCCTTTATATAAAGGGACTATACATGCTCTCTGCCAATCCCTAGGTACCTTCCCCTCTTTCATACATTTATTAAACAAAAGTACCAACCACTCCAACACTATATCCCCCCCTGCTTTTAACATTTCTGTCATGATCCCATCAGTTCCAGCTGCTTTACCCCCTTTCATTTTACGTAATGCCTCACGTACCTCCCCCACACTTACATTCTGCTCTTCTTCACTCCTAAAAGATGGTATACCTCCCTGGCCAGTGCATGAAATTACCGCCTCCCTTTCTTCCTCAACATTTAAAAATTCCTCAAAATATTCTCGCCATCTACCTAATACCTCCCTCTCCCCATCTACTAACTCCCCTACTCTGTTTTTAACTGACAAATCCATACTTTCCCTAGGCTTTCTTAACTTGTTTAACTCGCTCTTAAATGGTCCAAACGTATATATACATTTTTTCAACATCTGAAAGTATGTAAAAAAATGCAGAGCTTTTTTGTTTTACATTTGAAAATGTGTAAAAAAAAACTTTTATCTACTTTTTTTTTTGTTATATTTGAAAATATGTAAAAAAAGGTAGATCTACTTTTGTAGCACTACGAATTTGAACGTCGATCTATTTGGACCGTTTAAGGGTTAAAAAATATAATTTTTTTTTTATGAAATATACATTTCCCTACAAAGAAAACAATGAGACATGTACAATAACTATATACAGTGGACCCCCGGCATACGATGGCATCAGCATATATTAAATCTGGCATACGATACATTTTAACACAAAAATTTTGCCTCGCCACATGTTAAAAAACCCGCCACACACGATTCGTCCGGGACACATCCCACAGGTGTCCTCAGCTGCCCTGTGAGTGCCAGTGTTTACAAGCCAGCCAGTGCGGTCACATCCACGCATACAATTGGTACATTTCATATTATCACAGCGTTTTTAGTGATTGTACCTGCAAAATAAGTCACCATGGGCCCCAAGAAAGCTTCTAGTGCCAACCGTGCAGTAAAAAAGGTGAAAATTACTATGGAAATGAAGAAAGAGATAATTGCTAAGTACGAAAGTGGGGTGAGTGTCTCGGAGCTGGCCAGGTTGTATACCAAACCCCAATCAACCATCGCTACTATTGTGGCCAACAAAACGGCAATCAAGGAAGCTGTTCTTGCAAAAGGTGCTAGTTTGTTTTCGAAACAGAGATTGCAAGTACTCGAAGATGTTGAGAGACTGTTATTGGTGTGGATAAACAAAAAACAGATAGCAGGAGATACCATCTCTTAAGCAATCATATGTAAAAACGGTGGGAAATATGTACTATCGTACCACGGTCAGCTGTTGCTGCACCGTCAGCTGTTGCTGCACCACAGTCAGCTGTTGCTGTACCACAGTCAGCTGTTGCTGCACCACAGTCAGCTGTTGCTGCACCACAGTCAGCTGTTGCTGCACCACGGTCAGCTGCTGCTGAACCACGGTCAGCTGCTGCTGAACCACGGTCAGCTGCTTCTGCACCAAAGTCAACTGTTGCTGCATCATGGTCAGCTGTTGCTGCACTAGTCAGCTGTTGCTGCACTAGTCAGCTGTTGCTGCACCATGGTCAGCTGTTGCTACACCAGTCAGCTGTTGCTGAACCACCGTGAGCTGCTTTTGCACCACGGTCAGCTGCTGCTGCACCACAGTCAGCTGCTGCTGCACCACAGTCAGCTGCTGCTGCACCACAGTCAGCTGCTGCTGCACCAGTCAGCTGCTGCTGCACCACGGTCAGCTGTTGCTGCACCACGTTCAGCTGTTGCTGCACCAGTCAGCTGTTGCTGAACCACGGTGAGCTGCTGTTGCACCATGGTCAGCTGCTGCTGCACCACAGTCAGCTGCTGCTACACCATCATCTGTTGCTGCACCACGGTCAGCTGTTGCTGCACCAGTCAGCTGCTGCTGAACCACGGTGAGCTGCTGTTGCACCATGGTCAGCTGCTGTTGCACCAGTCAGCTGCTGCTGCACCACAGTCAGCTGCTGCTGCACCACAGTCAGCTGTTGCTGCACCACAGTCAGCTGTTGCTGCACCACGGTCAGCTGTTGCTGCACCACGGTCAGCTGTTGCTGCACCACGGTCAGCTGTTGCTGCACCACGGTCAGCTGGTCCTAGTGGCATTAAAAGAAGTGAAGTAACCCCGGAAAAGGACGTGCTACCTAAAGTCCTAATGGAAGGGGATTCCCCTTCTAAACATTAACAACTTCCACACCCTCCCCTCCTCCCATCCCATCAATCATCACCAGATCTTCAATAAAGGTGTCAGTTTGTGTGTATTAAAATTAATATTTCATGTGGTAAAAAAATTTGTCTTTCATACTTTGTGGTGTCTTGCACGGATTAATTTGATTTCCATTATTTCTTATGGGGAAAATTAATTCGCCTTACGATAATTTCGGCATACGATGAGCTCTCAGGAACGGATTAATATCGTATGCCAGGGTCCACTGTAAATAAATGTTAAAATGACACTTATCTTTATTGAAGAGTATTGATGAGCGATGAGACAGTTTTTCTTGAACACTCTGGGATTTTCAGAGTTATACATGAGTAAAGGCTTCACTTTGCAATCCCCACTAGCATTACAACAAAACAAGAAAGTTAGCCTGTCTTTCACAGGCTTGTGTCCTGGGAGTGCCTTTTCCTCCTGAGTAATGTAGGTCCTGTTTGGCATTTTCTTCCAGAACAGGCCTGTTTCGTCACAATTGAACACTTGTTGGGGTTGGAATTTTTCAGCTTCACCATGCCTTATCTCACTGTGTATGCCACAACGATTCTTAAATCTCTCAAACCAACCTTTGCTGGCCTTAAATGCACCAATATGAGCACTAGTTCCAAGCATTTTTTCCTGTTCACCTGGGTGTTAGTCGACTGGTGTGGGTCGCATCCTGGGGGACAATACATGTATTAAGGACCCCAATGGAAATAAGTTAGACAGTCCTCGATGACTCATCCTGGGTGGCTAACAATCTGGGGTTGTTTCTCGTTAAGCCACACCAACAACAGTCTCTCCACATCTTCGAGTAATACAGCTAACGGTGGTGCAGCAACAGTTGACGGTGGTGCAGCAGCAGCTGACTGTGGTATGACAGTATTTAAATAGTATTTCTCACCCTTTTTACTACAGGGTTGGCACTAGCTTCCTTTGCACCCAAGGTGGCTTATCTAGCAGTTACAAGCACTATAAACAATGGAATAATACAAAATGTATCGAATATATGCATGAAACCGGCCACCCTGGCTTGTAAACAATGACGGCAGGGCAGCTGAAGCACTCAGGCTGGACAGACAGGTTCGGGACGAATCACTTTGGGCAAGTTTTTTTATCGTTAGCCAGACCAAAATTTTTACGCTCAAAGGCTTCGTTGGGCGGTTTTAACGTTGTGTGATGCGTTTGTTAGCCGAGGGTCCACTGTATGTAATACACACATAACATACAAAATATGTGTTAATCAATTGTTTATGTTATCAGTAAAGCTTCCAGTCAACATAGGATATTAGCAATTACGTTTGTGGGGAGTCAAAAGTTATACAAGGCTTTTCGAGTATATGGGGGGTCGATGCCCCTAAGCCCTGTGTTGTTCAAGGGTCAATTGTACTTCACTAGAGAAATTATGTGATGAAACTTACGTCAACTTACCTAAGGGAAAGAGATCGGAGTTATAAGCGTAATATTTTTCCCGTAGCGTGTGGACCCGTAAGAGAGGCTCGGGAAGAGTGGCAGCAGTAGTCCTGGTGATGGTAGATGGTGGAAGCCTCCTTGGAAGTAAGGTGACTACTCGGGTTTGATGGGTGGCCACTGAGGGAAGGTAGGTGGCGGGGGCCATGACTAGACTCCTACCAAGGGAGGCTGATGATGCTGCTTATGGAAAAAATTAAAAGGAAATACTGAAATTTGTGTCTGGTAACTGATAAGTTGAGAAAGTGTGTTAGCCCATATGCAAAGTACAAGTTCGGCTAACAGGTTTTTCTAGAATCCCTTCATAAATGTTAACTTGCTCACACACTAACATAATGTCAACTCATGAAAACCACTTGCCTCCACTCACTCCTAACACACACACACACGTGCATGCACACGCACGCACACGTGCGCACACACGCACGCACACGTGCACGCACATGCACTGAGTCTCGACCCCTGCAACCACAATTAGGTGAGTACATGCACACACACGTCCTGCCAACTGTAACGCAAGGAGGTCCTCTCTCAGTGTGAGTAAGGAATAGGATAATTCTTCATTATTTTATTAACACATCGGCCAATTCCCACCAAGGCAGGATGGTCGGAAAAATAAAAACTTTCATCATCATTCACTCCATCACTGTCTTGCCAGAGGGGTGCTTTACACTACAGTTATAAAACTGCAACATTAACACCCCTCCTTCAGAGTGCAGACACTGTACTTCCCATCTCCAGGACTCAAGTCCGGCCTGCCGGTGTCCCTGAATCCCTTCATAAATGTTACTTTGCTCACACTCCAACAGCACGTCAAATATTAAAAACCCTTTGTCTCCATTCACTCTTATCAATTACGCTAATGCACGCTTGCTGGAAGTCCAAGCCCCTCGCACACAAAACCTCCTTTACCCCCTCCCTCCAACCCTTCCTAGGCCGACCCCTACCCAAACTTCCCTCCACTACAGATTTATACACTCTCGAAGTCATTCTGTTTTGTTCCATTCTCTCTACATGTCCGAACCACCTCAACAACCCCTCCTCAGCCCTCTGGATAATAGTTTTCATAATCCCACACCTTCTACTAATTTCCGAACTACGAATTCTCTGCATTATATTCACACCACACATTGCCCTCAGACATGACATCTCCACTCCCTTCAGCCTTCTCCTCATTGCAACATTCATCACACATGCTTCACACCCATACAAGAGTGTTGGTACAACTATACTCTCATACATTCCCCTTTTTGCTTCCACGGACAAAGTTCTTTGTCTCCACAGACTCCTAAGTGCACCACTCACCCTTTTCCCCTCGTCAATTCTGTGATTCACCTCATCTTTCATAGACCCATCTGCTGACATGTCCACTCCAAAATATCTGAATACATTCACCTCCTCCATACTCTTTCTCTCCAATCTGATATCCAGTCTTTCATCACCTAATCTTTTTATCCTCATAACCTTACTCTTTCCTATATTCACTTTTAATTTTCTTCTTTTACATACCCTACCAAATTCATCCACCAACCTCTGCAACTTCTCTTCAGAATCTCCCAAAAGCACAGTGTCATCAACAAAGAACTGTGACAACTCCTACTTTGTGTTTGATTCTTTATTTTTTAACACCACACCTCTTGCCAAGACCCTAGCATTCACTTCTCTTACAACCCCATCTATAAATACATTGAACAACCATGGTGACATCACACATCCTTGTCTAAGGCCTACTTTTACTGGGAAATAATCTCCCTCTCTCTCCTACATACTCTAACCTGAGCCTCACTATCCTCGTAAAAACTCTTCCCTGCTTTCAGTAACCTACCTCCTATACCATACACCTGCAACATCTGCCACACTGCCCCCCTATCCACCCTGTCATATGCCTTTTCTAAATCCATAAATGCCACAAAAACCTCTTTACCCTTATCTAAATTCTGTTCACCTATATGTTTCACTGTAAACACTTGGTCTCCACACCTACCTTTCCTAAAGCCTCCTTGTTCATCTGCTATCCTACTCTCTGCCTTACTCTTAATTCTTTCAATAATAACTCTACCATGCACTTTACCAGGTATACTCAACAGACTTATTCCCCTATAATTTTTGTACTCTCTTTTATCCCCTATACCTTTATACAAAGGAACTATGCATGCTCTCTGCCAATCCCTAGGTACCTTACCCTCTTCCATACATTTATTAAATAATAGCATCAACCACTCCAAAACTATATCCCCTCCTGCTTTTAACATTTCTATCTTTATCCCATCAATCCCAGCTGCCTTACCCCCTTTCATTCTAACCACTGCCTCACAAACTTTCCCCACACTCACAACTGGCTCTTCCTCACTCCTACAAGATGCTATTCCTCCTTGCCCTATACACGAATAGGATAGTAACCAGCAGTAATTGGTACTTAAATCCAGAAAGTGCAATAAGTGGAGAAGGTAGCATTACTAGGAAACAACTGGGACTACAAATTTGAGTCTGTAGGGTACAGAGTTTTAGGCCACAATAACAGTACACATACACAGGGACCTGTGAGCCTATATGACAGAGTGCATGTAACGGTTACTTTTCAACCATATACCAACTACCCCTCCCCCTAACCATCTCTCCCTCTCCCTTAACTATCTACCTCCTCTTCGCAACTCTCCCACCCCCCAACACACGAACACACACACACGAACACACCTTAAGGCACCCATTTCAAGCCGTCACTCTATCCCCTCCTCTCCTCCCCTTCCCCTTCACTCCCATCCCCCATCCTATCACTTTCTCTCTCTCTCTCTCACCCACCCACTACCAGGACCAACATAATCTCTCATTCTCCACCTCTCCATCACTCTGTCCTTCCCCTCCCCCCGTTTCTCTTTTTAGCACTCGGCCACTATCCCTATCTCATCCCCCATCCTATCACTTTCTCTCCCCCCCTCCACACATACACATATGCACACACCGTCTTAAGGCTCCCCTGTTTAAGCAGTCACTCTATCCCCACTCTGCCCCTCCCACTTCCTCTAACCATCTCTCCCTCTCCCCTATCTAACCATCCTTCTCCCCCTCACTCCTCCACTCTTTTTCTCTTTCTAGCAATCAGCCACTCTATCCCTCTCCCCTCCCCCATCCTATCACTTTCTCTCTCTCCCCCCTTCCATCATCCCTCTTCCCAGTCTTTCTCCCTCTAGCCTCTCCCACACTCCCTTTCTCCCTATACCATATTGCAACCCCTAAAACTCTCCTTGATGCTGACCCCCCTCCCACCCCATATCCTTCTTCTCCCTGCCCTGCCTCCCCTCCCTACAACACCCATCCTCACACAAACACCCACTCCGAAAATAAATAAGCATTGTTCTATGGTGCAATGGGGCAATCAAGAACAAGGCCGAGAGCCAAGGGTCTGACGGACGAATCTGGGAAGGAGGATTGGGAGGCAGAGCTCAAAAAAAGGGAGGAAGACTGGGGAAGGAAGCTAGAAGGGCTTGGAAGGAAGATGGAGGAGAGGTTAGCTGCAGAGAGCAGAAATTGGGAGCAACATGCCATAGTAGCAGAACCCAAGATACAGAGCTTAGAAGAGGAGCTGAGAAATCTGAAACAGCCTAGACAAAAAATAACAATACAGACATAGTATTGGGAATATCTACATCAGACACAGACAAAGGGACTGGAGGGAGCAAGGAAGCTATACTGTAGGCAAAGGTCCTGCCAGACCCACACGGGGCCAAGACAAAGACAGGGAGCACACTAGGATCAAATGAGAGGTCGGAAGACACTGAAGGAGCCAGCACATAAGCAGGGACTCTACCAGACACTTGTAGGGGCCAGGAACAGATGAGCAGGAAAGACAAACCAATGAGCATAGGGGTCTCAGCTAGGGTAGGGACTGAAGGAAGGAACACTCCAAGGGAAGGAACTAAAACACCTCAGAGGATGCAATGGGAGAGACAGTGGTAGGAAGAAAGGGAAAGATCAGTTTTTGTCTATGGGCTCCAGGAAGCCGAAGGAGAAACCTATGATGAAAGAAAACAGGAGGAGAAAAAAGCGATTGAGGGAATCATGAAGGCGATAGGCGAGGGCGACATGACCCAGGTCACAAATTTTTGGAGAATTAGGTGGTTCGCAAGGAGAAGGAAACAGCTTTTCAAAGTAATTTTCAAGGCAGAATCAACTCGAACCATGATCCTGCAGGAGAAAGCACGGCTGAGAGAGAGAAACTGGAGTTCCAGAGTGTGTACCTCGATTGAGACAGAACACAAGAGGAAAGGATGATACTGAAAGAGAGAGTGCAAAAACAAAAGGAGGAATGGGAGGAAATGACAAAGAAAAGCAGAATAACCCAGGCACAGGTGGAAGGGCAAACACATCCCCCAGAAACACCCGCAGAAGGACTCCAACCACGACAACCCGAAGGCAACTGAACAATCTAAACCAACAATCACACACTGATCCCTCTGTCCCCACCCCGACACCACAAACCCTACCCCTACAGCAACCCCCTATGGGAACTCTGCCCTCACCCCCACTGCAACCCCCCATAGGCCCCCCACAGGGCTCCTGCTCTCCCAACCCCAATATTCCCCCAGGACCACAGTTTAAGAACAGAAGTTGAAGGTTTGGTACATGAATGCGGATGGCTTAACGAATAAATATGAGGAGAGGCATGAAAGAATCAATGAGAAGTCCCCAGACATCATAGCAGTTACAGAAACGAAACTCACTGAGACAATAACAGATGCAATCTTCCCACCAGGATATCAGATCATAAGGAAAGATAGAAGGGGCAGAGGGGGAGGAGGGGTTGCACTGCTCGTAAAAAACCGATGGAAATTCGAGAAAATGGGAGGCATGGACGAGATTGGAAAAAGGGACTACATAGTAGGTACACTTCAGTCTGGGGAGCACAGGTAGTCATTGCAGTGATGTATAATCTGCCACGGAACTGCAGGAGGCTAAGAGAGGAGTATGAAGAGAGCAACAGAGCAATGGTGGACACTGGCTGAGGTGGCAAGAAGAGCTCACTCGAGCAAAGTTACTGGTTATGGGCAATTTCAACCATAGGGAGATTGATTGGGAAAACCTGGAGCCACACGGGGGTCCTGAAACATGGAGAGCCAAGATGATGGATGTGGTACTGGAAAACCTCATGCACCAATGTTAAGGACACTACCAGTGAGAGGGAAGGATGAACCAGCAAGACTGGACCTTGTGTTCACCCTGGGCAGTTCAGACATTGAGAACATCACATATGAGAGTCCCCTAGGAGATAATGACCATGTGGTTCTGTGCTTTGAATACATAGTAGAATTACAAGTGGAGAGGGTAACAGGAACTGGTAGGACAGAGAACTGGTAGGAAAGTCAGTAAATGAAATGATGGAATATTTAACAAAAAAATGCAAGGAGGCAGAGGAAAGTTTTGTTCCCAAGGGCAACAGAAATAATGGGAAG